CTGAAAAGGAAATCAATATTAGTTAAAAGGACATCAATATTAGTTACATGAAAGTGTTTTTTGCACTTCATCAGCTGTTGGTCTAGCCAGTAGCCTCTACATGAATAGAATGTTGTTTTGCTTTTTACTTATTTTTGAACATACACGTGTGTGTAGTCTCCTCCGAAGGAACACGTTTTTCCTCCAATCGCTTGGTTGAAAGGTCTCCCTATGTTTTCATAAACGTTGAGAATAGTCATTCATGAATCCCGGGCAAAAAGATGACTGTCAGATATCTGCACCTGGGGGAGATTGATCAACTAATCGCCCACGGCTTCGCCGCCGGAACGGCGCGGCACATCCTTTCGCCCAGGTTCCACAGATGGGCAGGCAGCGCCCATCGGGGACGGGTGCTGGTCCTGGACACTTGGAGGGCCATTCCTTCCTTTTGGAGGCCCAAATAGACGATATGAATATATATATATATATATGTCCAATGCATTTGGAATGAGGGATCACTGTATGCCATGTGGGAGTCTGCTATACAAGTCACTTTTTGAGTCGTCTGCTTCACCACTTGCCATGTGCCATGTGCTGCTTGTTGGTCCATGGTGCCATGGGTCCGGTCCGATGTCGCATCGGAAGAGGTGAGGGAATACTCCCGAGTGGCAGTGGCCAAGCTGCCCTAAGAGCGATGATCGGCTCCATCAAGTTCTAAAGCAAGTAAGTTATCACCGAAGTTTTACTCCCTTTTGGACTTGGGCCAAGCCTCTGAGCTTCCACCTCTTTCGTGGGTCAATCTCCAATGAAATGTCTGAGTCGTACACTTTGACCCACTCACAGGGAAGTGGATGGCATAGGCTGTGGGAAAACCTTGAAATCCTCTACAAACAGACAAGTGCCATCCACGTCCATGCGAGTGGGAAAGGAATTCATGACCATCCACGCCATGGTGGTCATGAGGTGCTTTTCATCCGAAACAGAACGGAACAAGGCCATGCATGACTTCAGAAGATCCAAAGGTGTACACTAGTGAATATAATACGGATTGATTAGTCTGATGTGGGCCATTTTCACGGAGCATCTGGTGGGGTATTATGGATCTAGACAAGCTTACCTTTCTGTTGGGTGGTCTTTGTGGCATTGGCCGCTTTGCCCAGAAACTCCGCCAAATTTCCCATGTTTGCCTGCCAGCTCTGCAGCTGCAGCTCTCCGGTTTCAAACAGTTCATCCACTTCTTTCTTCCCACCATTTAAACGCATCGGAACCCCTGACGTGTGGATTGCTCTGGCTCTGGGTTTGAAAGCCAGAGCCAATCCACACGGTCTCACGCTCCACGGTCTCCGATGTGTGGAACAGCTGGTCACGTGCTTCCCTTCGCTAGGCATCCGCGCCCCGCCAGGCATCCACCTGGGTGGCCCCCTACGAGCAAGTCTGGCGCGTGGAGCAGATCATGGCGCGGAGACCGATGCGATGCGCGTCCCCAAAGGGATGCGATGCGCAGAGATGATGCGATGCGAAGGACTTCAAGCGGATTGTTTTCGGTCGACTGAGGTTTGTCATTCTGTCGTTCAGCTGGAACGAACGATGGACTCATGGTAGTTTTCTTCTGTCTTGAAGCCAAGAGACGATGTTTGTGGGGGCAGGAGCTTATGTCACCATGAACTTCTGTCACCATGTGTTGATGCAACTCCTGCATCGATAAATCTTTTGTCTAACATGCCAGACTGCCAGACAGAGCGAGAATTGCTCCACTAAATCAACGCACCGTTCTTCAATCCACCAGCTGTCGCTTCCTGCCTGGTGGGGGAGCGATCCTGGGAGAGGGTTCGAGCGATCCCAGATTCTTTTGGGGAGAGGGAGCACTGTGTGTCCAGGAAAGACAGGGATTTGCAAAATATGAATGTTGAATAATGTTACTGTAAACCATGTTAAAACCCATGCCGAGGTTTTCCAAGCAATTCTTTGTCCAGCTTTGGAATGAATATGAATGAATCGATGTGAGTGCCCTGGACACAACCTTAGAACCTTGAGTACCAGTGGGGGGACAAACAACTGTAGTTGTACTGGTTTGATAGGTCTTTCAATTGGGTGCGAAGTGATCAGGTCAGATCAGACCTCAGGAGACCAACAAACACCGCATGGGGCCAGATCGATGGCTTCTAGTTCAGTTCTTCGTCTTCCTCCAATTGAATACTGGAAACCAACAGAACCCCTGAAGAGACACACCAACCTGAATTCTACTACGTTGACATCATCACATCCTCTATACGTTTGGATTGCCATCACCCGCCTTGAACACACGGGTCATCCATGGCCTTTCGAGGCGTTAGCGGCCGGGCAAGCGCAGCAAGATCAGCCGGTCTGCGGGGCTCTCGAGACGATGGGGTCTGCCGGTCGGGCGGTGGACTGGCACTGGGAGCCTCAAACGATAGTCTGTTCACCTCGCGGAGAACTCCATGTGAAACATGGGACGCTGTCGCATCCAAGGTCCCCCAATTTGGATCCACGGACCATTTTTCAGGTGGACCTACCCCCCTGGTCGTGTAGAAGCCATTTTTCAGTCGATACATGGAACAACCACTATAGGACTATCGGATACTACATACAACTCAGTGCTTCCAGTTGTTGTTTCTTTTTCTATACGTGGACCTCCAAAGTACCTTAGATCAGACAATCAGATACTTCTACCCATTGTCTGAGGTACGAACTGAGACTCCAGGTATTGGCAACGGCTAAAACCGACCGAGCGAGGGCCGGAGGACACCGGGTCGAGTTCATGGGGATCCCATTTGGAGGTGTGCGACGCGACATGGTTGGGGGTTTCGTTTGGGACGAAGCGGTTTACTTTGGGATCCATTTGAATCCAATTTCGAGTGATGCCTCATTTTGGGAGGGGTTTTAAGGCCTTGTGGGCGACTCCGGATACACCAGGCGCTTTGAGATGTACTGAAGCTTCCTCGCCAGGACCTTCAGCGATTGATTTTTTGGTGCCTGAAGTTCTGACTCGTAGAAGTTTGAGGATGTGTGGCCATCTGCTAATCTTTCACAGGTACCAACACTGGTACCATTCCCAGCGCAAATAACATGCGCAAAGCACCATCTGATTGTCACTAAACTTGCCTGGCAAAAACTGAGCGTTTCATCTCCTGGCATTGGAATAGTTTTATTCGAATCATCGGCTGGATAGCTACAAGCACAGCTACCAGGCATGGGGGTACGCACCGGTGCAACCGGCTCTTAAGGGTTACAGCCTGCTACAGCTGCTCACAGGAAGTTTGGATCCCCAAATCTGGTCCACCAAGCAACCCAACTAGCTTCGACTCCGCTCTTTGGCCCATTCCGAAGACATCGCCAAAGTCGTCACCAGAATGGCATCGTCTTTTCGCCAGGTTTGACTCCAAGACTCCTCGGTCAGCGCCAAAGGGGCACCTTCCGTTGCTTGGGGGTCGTTTACCCTTCTTCTTCTTCTTTATTCTTCTTTATTAGTTCGTCTTTATTCTTTCTTCCTTCCTTCCTTCCTTCCTTCTTCGAATCCCAAGCCGAAACCCGAACTCTGCCAACTCAAAAGCCTCGAGTGCTCGGGGGAATCACTCGGCCGGTGCACCGGTCGATTTCGACGCGCCGTGGCTCTCAGGTTCGGAGTGCTTGAAACAGGTCGTGGCCGAGGTCGAGCGTTTGGTCGAAGAGGTGCCGGATGTGCCGGAGCGACTCGGGGCGACGAAGAACAACAGGGCTTTTTGATGTGGGGAACATGGCGGCATAGGAGAGGGTGTCTAACGAGTCCAGTCATGACTCATTTTACCCCTAGTGGTAGTGGTGGATTATGACATATTATGACTACCAGGTGGAGTACAATGAGTCATTGGAAGTTCTGGGTAAACCACATCATGAACATGGTGTTGAAGGCGCTAGCTGGTGCGAGGGAGCGATTGAGGGGTGAACGGAGGCCGGAACGAGGTCTGCCAAATGAGGGAGTTCTCTGCCAAAATTTCTATAAGGCCAGCCAAAACCTTAATGGGACTTCTGGGACCCTTTGCTTTACATCAAAAACGATCGTGGGATCTCTTTTGTCGGACCAGGTATCTCTTTCTTCTCTCCTTTTCCTCGGTCGGACCTCATGAGGTGAACAGAGGTCGTGCAAAGATAAGAATTGATGAAGTTTCGAAGAAGTCAAGGGCGAACAGGAATTGTTGGCAGAAGGGCGAACAGTGGATTTGTCAAGTGGATTTGTCAGTGCGAAGACTCAGCAATACTCACCTTCACCTTTTTTCCCGGAAAGGAAAGGCTAGAAGAGCGATCCCAACATGGCCCAAGCAAGGGGCAGAAGAAATGTTTCAGGGACTACTGATGAATGCAGATTGACCAGACATTTCTTAGTATGTTCATTCATCTGGAACACTTGGCTCAAGCATCTCCGTTCTGGGGCTGCGGAAACGATCAATTGATCAATTGGACCTTTTGGACATATAGTGCGTCACCTGAGATACCTCAGCAATGGATGACATTGGACAATTCATGCGCGGGCTATCACCACATCAGCCCTGATCTGTTTCATCGCATGCTGTCCCTTCTCATCTCTTGGTAGAAACTGGTCAGCCACGATGTCACTTCCTCCCAGCTCGCAGAGCTCGTGACACAAACTTGCCTGGGTGGGTGGCACTGCGGCACCACCAGAGATATCCACCACTGAACCAAGTAACCCCACCAGTCGAATCGACGCCGATGGGGTTTTGGATGGTTTTAGTTCCCACTTCATCTACTTAATCCGACTGTTATCCTCCAGATAGCTGGGCGTCCGAACGCAAGTCTATTCATAGGCATTTCATAGCCCATCTTCTCCAAGCTCGAAAAGAGCCGCTGCTCAGGAGTCAAGAGGACCTCGGAGCTACTACGGATTCCCTGGAAGTCCAACGCAGGTTGAAGAACCCTCAGCAGGACCTAGTTCGACCAGCCCATATAGGTACCCCAGTATGATCCGGGTCCTGCAATTCAGGTCAAACCACTCTTGGTTCCCCAAACCCCGTCTCACAGCTCGAAGAAGACCACCTTCTCCACCCGTTCGCTTCGCACCCGCCACGGTCCGGGTCGTCCGTGCACGTCGCTTTTGCGACGCCTTCGTCTCGTGTACGTCCGAGACGCTCGCCATGGGGGACGATCATCTGGGAGTGGTGATCTCAATGCCCACGGTGGCCATGTTGGTGGGCTCCATGGCCGTCTTTGTGCATCTCGGTAGGAACGGGACTTTCAACGTCGTCGGTGCGGTTCCGAGCGAACAAATGGGCAGACCAGCTGGACAGACTGCGACAGAGCCAAGTATTTAAGAGGAAGTCCAAGAGACCAGGACGTTGAAGTGGGAAGTATTTCTGGTTTTGTAGTGTAATATCCTCAATTAAAACAATGGTTGTTCGGTAGAGGCTAATAAATCAATGGTTTGACTTCTAGAGGATGTTTGGGTGTTTCAGGTGGATTTCTTTCTTGGATCACTTGTGGAAAAGGGGGTTATATCTGGGTCCTTTTCTCGGCTAGGCTGACGGCGGCTAGGCAGTTCTCAGTTCTCATCGCTCAATGACTCAGCCAAGAACACCCGAGGCTTGCTTTATTGGGAGACCACCCCAAGACCACGAGGAAAGGACAAGTAGACTCGAATCAGAAAGTATTCATTTGAAGTCATGTGAATGTTGGATCGCACCAACCCCCCATAAGGACATATAAAGACAACATCTGTCTTTGCACATCATGATGCTAATGGTGGATTCCTAGTTGCTGAGGCCACAAGTGACATGTGTGTTCATTCTTGCTCACAAGTTGGCTTTTTTCCTTTTCCATGCTGATTCCTTTTACCCCAAGAAAAAACACAGACTTACAGTAATTGTTTGACATATCGCACCGCTATTCACCGCTTGTCAGCTGTGTACTGTAGAGACACATGGATGACAAAAGGAGAAACCAGCTGTTCTTGTTGAATGAATTGGGTTGGTAAAGGGCGCAGAAGGGGGTAGATAGATGCATGCAGAGAAGCTTGATGTTCCATGCGAGATTGCAGAAAAATCTTCCCAGCCCTCTGGTGTGAAGCATGGTGCGAAGCCAGCTGCCAATGGCTAAACTTGGCTGGCTGCACTTTTGTCTTCGAGGGGCCCTCAAAAAGATCTTGAACGCTTTTCGGTGTGGTCGCTTATTTTGCACGAATTCCAATCGGGTATATAATACCCAGACACTCCATGTATTCCATTTTTTGCCTTCATTGACCCCCCAAACCACCCCAATGTAGACAAATATGGCAGTCGCATGGAGTGTCTGGGATAGTGAGCAGACATCTTACAAAGTTTTTCTCTTGGTCCTTCAGGACCTTTTGTCAGCTAATCCGTGGATTTGGGGCCATTTCCCAGCCCGTTTTCACCACGAACTCCTTGCTCTTTCAGACTCTCCGGTTTCTTTCAGACTCCCCAGTGGTTGACGCTGGGCTGGACATCCCCACCCTTCGCCCAGTACAGCCGCTAAAAGCGGTCGCCTCCGCCTCCGCATCCGCGCGCCTCCGCCTCCGCATCCGCATCGTACGCGCGGATGCCACCAACGAGGTGCCGCTTGCCAGACAAGGTGCAAGCGTGCTTCCAGATGTTTTCCGCAGGACTGGTGCCGGAGGGACGGCGGGTGTTGGGAAGGAACTTGACATGAAATACAGCAGGTTTTCTCCGCTTTTTGGTCGCAGTGGTACCTAGGAGCTGGGCAAGAAGAGATCCCCATTTCCGACTTCCCTTTGCACCCACTGATTGCTGAGGGAGTGGTGAAAGCGGATGACAGCTCGAGTCAACTCCATGTTTCACATCCCATGCGGAACGTTGGAGCCGAATCTTGTGGCTGACAGGTGCTGAGCCTAAACAACCTCCCAGGCAACGACCTTCTGGACCAGTCTGCCTGGTTGGCTGTCTCCGGCTTTTGGCTGCATGACCGGTGTTCATGTTGGACCACCAACCACCCCAAATATGGTCTTTTCCTGTCAAAACAGATGTCATGTCTGGGCTAGGAACACACACCCAACATGACCCTCCTGGTTTCGGTAAACATGGACCAGTCTCGCCAGGCCGTGCGGGCCGTGCGGGCATCCGGCTTCGCTTCGCCGGACCCGCCCAACATGACCGGCTTCGTTCGGGGTTCGGCTTCGTGAGCGCCGAACTCCAGGCCTCTTGATCTCAGCAGTGGCCAATGTGCCCTGGCGGGGCGGTTGGGGCTTCACGGTCGGGCCCGCAGGAAGCGCTCGGTGAGCGCGGAAGGCTTCCTTTTGGGCTCACTACGGGACAGGCAGCCTCAGTGGGAAAAGGAAGAATTGAAGGCGTGACAGATGTCATCCCTAGAAACTTATAGGCATAATAGGTAGAAGTTTCTGCCCAACAAGAGGTTCTAGGGACGTTCAACGCATTTTCAGCATTCTTTTAACCTCTCCGGAAGGCTTCTGTACGCCATGTCATGGGATCACTTTGTAAAACAAGCAGATTCGAGACCACGAGATCTTCAACATGCGATTGGACTGGTTGACCCAGTGGATCCAGTTAAACGTACTAGAGTTTGCTGGTTTCTTCACCACCAGTTCAACGACATCCCGCGATCTATTGGGTGAGTTGTGACTCTTTGAACCATAGAGGCACCATGGAGGCACCACTTGTTCATAGAATAGAGATCCATGAACCAAGCGCCGCTTCAATGAACAAGTCCACTGGATTCTGGATCCAACTTCTGCCTCTTCCGGTCGTCCACATTACTGGTTCGGTCCTCAAGCGTGTCGCGGACCAGGGGAGGGCCCATGTGGGGCACGGGGCATTGTTAGACACCCGGAGATGCGCATGTCACATCCATACCCTGTGCAGGTGTTTTCCCTTCATCTCGCTTTGTTCATGCTGTTTGCGAGTTTTGGTCGCTGAGATGACTCTGCATGGAATGTAGGAACCACACTAAGTGGCTGCCTCCCGAGTTTGCAGACTGGTGCTGCATCCGGGAGACACGGTGGCACCGGTGGCAGGTGGGCAGCAGCTATGAACCAGCTAAGATGCCAGATAGATACCCTTTGGACATCCAGGTACCTGCTTAGAAGATGTTTGGACCCTTTTCGCCTACATCAGAGTGTCTCCAATCACCCTCTCAGATGGTATATGGGTCCGTAGGGCTAGGGTCTTTGAGCAGAGAATCCTGCCACTGCTGTGGAGGGATATTTTACACTTTGCCTGCGTGCAGAGGGCACATCATGTGACCTCTCACAATCCCTTGGAAGAAGATGGTCTGTGCAGATCTCCCATGTGGAAGCTCAGACATCGGGAAGCTCAGAATCCATCTTTGGTCGAATCCTTCCTGACATTCCGACCGCCAGACCCCGAAAGAAACACCCCTCTCGCATCCATGGGACATTTGTCGATCAATTGGGGTGTAGGCATATATCCCTAGAAGTTCAGTTTGACTATATTTTGCCCGACTGAAGTAAAGGAAATTCCGAACTTCGGGTCACCTAAAGACCATTCTTTTTATAGTCTTTGACTCCCAGGGTATATGGCAGTCCCATGGAGTGTCTGGGTAATGGAGTTTCAGGCCGACTGGGCTGGTTAATCAGGGCCAGGCCTGATGACCGTCCAGGATTTCAGACGTACCATGTGTTCAACGTAGGTTGTATTTTAATAGGGAGACCCACAACCAATGGGAAGACTGAGAGTCTTTGGGGGGGTCTCCCGCTCATGTACCCTGTCTGAAAAGACATCCGACCGAGGAGCTCTTTCCCTTGTTGAAGCCTGCACAGTCCCAGCTCCCTCTGCTCGTGGGCTTTACTGTGGGCTTGATCTTCATGTGCCCCGCCATGCGACCGACCGGCCTGCGGGAATTGAAGTGTGTGAGGGTCCAAGTGCTGTGGTCCTCTGCTGCTCGTACTTCAACGACGACAAGCATTATTACAAGAACGACAGGGACAACAAAACAACAACTGCAACAACACAGTGTTGACAACAACAACCACATACCCACTGCCTGCTGCTGCTTCTTTTCCTAAGACATGTTCAGCAAGTCTTCAACAGGGATCCACTGTCTCATGTATTTAGGATGCACTATAATTCGTAAGTTATATTTCTTTACCTTTTTGACGCTACTGTTGCTATTGATACTGTACTGACATCCACAACAAAAAGGACGACCATGTTGCCAACACATACGCAGACGAATCCAAATCCATTGTCCGGTGCTGTCGGGCAGTTTCTCCGATTTCAGTGTGACGCACTCACTCCCCACATTTGATAACTTTTTCTTTGAAGGCTGAACCACAAAGCCTATACTAGGCTTGACGTCATGTTTCAATCCTGCCAGCTGTACGAGGTTTGGGCTAGGCTATTTGACTGAGTTCATGGAGGAGGATGAGGAGGACGGCGTGTTGCCGGACGGGAGACCTCTTTCAGGATGCCAGGTCCAGCCGCCACATGACAGCACGTCGGCTACGAAGCCTGGAATTGATGCGGTAAAGATTCATCAATCACACATCCTCATCGCTTGAGTTCTGAATGTGGCAGCATGGGATTTGTACAAGATTTGCAAGCTAGAGCCTTTTTCTTGGAAAGCTAGGGTCAGCTTCCATCCAGTCGATCAATGATTGGCAAACAACCTCATGGCCCACACCCTCAGCGAGGAGCAGGTCAAGGAATGAAGTGGCGAGAAATGAACAAATCGCAATCAAGATTTGAAGTGAAGTCAGGTGTACTATGTTTGAATCAGAAGCTTGACGTGTCGTCGTCCGGCGTTGGCCGCGCTGTGTCCAAACCTCCTGTTTCTTGCGGCTGTCATGCACAGCAGCGAAGACAACTAGGATGCTGAGGTAGTGGTTCAACGCTAAAAAGTTCCAGGTGGAGAAAGTTATCTGGTTTGAGGCAAAGTATATATTTATATTTCAAAAAATCTAGAATGACCGCTTGCTGCGCTGTTCCAAGAATGAACACCAGCCTCTACCAGGATCAGACTTGGCTTAATGGTGTTATTATAGACATATAACTATATATATATAGATTTATACTTGTCTGTCTCCATATGGTGGTTCGGTTCTTTAGTCTTTCTATAAAACCCACCTGTGTGGTGATAGGTTACATTGTCATTCTATCAAACACCTAGTTTGTGATTGATACTCAACATATATGTCTGCCTTCCACCTATTCTGTAAAATATAAAACCAACTCAGGCGGGCTTTTTTGAAAGGGGGATCAATAGTTATGTTTGTGTTCCTCTAGTTTGCTGGAAGCAATCTGAGTGGTCGATCGAAGTAAGTGGGATTGACTAATTCGATGGGAAGATCGAGCAATGGGGCATCACTCATCATGTTCCAATCTCGCAAGTACGCCTCCGCACTATTTTTGTGCAAGCCGGTTGATGCCTTCCTCACATGGTGATGAACTCAAGTTCATGGAATCCCGAAGAATAGTTTCAATAGAAGAAGTATTATAGACATACGTAATCCCCAAGTAAACCATGAACCATGTCCGGGTGGTTTGCCGTCCTCACATCGTGCTAGCACCACCTCTCCATGCTTGTTAGACTTGTCTCATCGCAGCACGGAGTTGGTCAGCACCAGGAGGTGGTCACACAAAAGCGCACCACCAGCGATATTGAGACAGCTCCTTGGGCGCAGAGGTCACGTCGGAATGCGGGAGGTGGAGCTGTGGAGGCGGTGCGGTGCGGGTGAACTGCCCTCGGGTGGCGGGTGGTTCCAATGAAAGACGACAGATTTCGGTGATGGCCGGGATTTTTGATGTTTGAATCCCCAAAATGGTCGTATGAAAAACCAAGAAAACAGGGACTTGGAGGGCGGGACTCAGCTGCTTAGCTACGGCTACAGTTGAGTAAGCAATGAGGATACGCTGCTGGTGAACATGATGGAGATGGAGACTGGCCCTTTTGTAGAGGAAGGTTAAGGTTCAGCTCATTGTTCATGGTCAAGAACACAGTGCAACCGCCAACGCAAAAATCTGAGTTGAACGCAGAGAACTCGGGTCATTATGCAAGCTCCACACTCCTTGGTGATGGAGCGTTGGTCGTTCTAGGTGTTCCAGAAGCCAAAGACATCCGACCACCATGCTCCGTCATGGTCTCGGTCGTGTCATCTTCAGTATAGTAAAGATGTCTTCAACCCACCAGAGGATGTCCTTCCACCATCTGATTTCTGCCAACCAAAGCCTTTTAGTTGCTTTGACACTGGATTTACTGAGAGTGAATTAGAGTGATTTAGAGCCATGAATTCCTTTTTGAGCCACCTGGCAACCCACCAGGTCATTGGGTTTGGCCGCCCGGGCGCCAGGAATTTTGTACCCCCCCGCCCCCACAACCAACGTGAGTTTGAGTGGTTGGGACTACGCCACCCCAAACCGGCGGCGTTGCCTGCGTTACATCGAAAGCAGCGCAGCAATCTTTACTCTCGATATTCAGGCGAGGTGTTTGGTCGATGAAACCGGCCTTGCAACTCTCCGGCAAGCCGTGGTCATGCTGCCGTAGAAACGCGTGTCCAACGCATGAGCGCGAGAATTTCCGCCGCGACGACGACGGTGGTGCGAGTTCTTCTTGAAACCAAAAGGGCAAATTGCATCAGGGCAGTCCAACCATCATGGACAAATCCCTAGGTTTTCAGGTACCGGTCGGGCTGTGAACGTAGCCTCTGGGGAGATAGGGCTGTTCCCCTGCGCAGACTCAGACTTTGACAAAGGTGGACCCTGACTTTGACTCTGACCGACGTGGTTTTGATCATGACTGGAATAGCAAACCTTCGTGGTTTGGGGGAATTCCATGTGGTCCTCAGGGTTTTCGTATTTGAGATCCACCGAACTAGACAACCGGGTCATGTTTGAAGGAACTAGACCAGTGGTGGCCTGGACTGCTCAGTCCGATAACCTCTGACCCTCCACTGCCTCAGAGATCGACCAAGCTCAGGCCTTGGTGGATATTTGTGAGCAAGAAAGGCAGAAAGCTAAAGAGCACTTCCAAGTGGAGACGAAGGAGTTGCACGCACGCATATCGGTCTTCTTCTTCATCGTGTTGATGCTGTGTTGATATGTTCAGCGGCTATCGATCGGTGTCGCATTGATGATATTCTGTGATCCGCGGCTGTATCTACAGTACAAAGTTGCTTCCTTCAAACATGGAGCACACATGTCGGACACACCCGCACACACCACATCGCTCCTCGGTGTTTGGGTTGGTATCCAAAGCCACATGGTTTGAGCGAACCAGTTTGCCCAGCTTTGCTCCAGCTGGCCCCGCGTATTTCATGGCCGAGGAAGGCGGACCACGGATTGGAGGTGCCGCGATCTGTCACATTGTAGTAGTGTGTGTCTGACCCAACATTGAAGGTGGTCTACCAAACTGTAGGGTGGTCTAAAACATGTCGACATGGTTCATCTATGGTGGATTGACTCATCACTTTTGAACACCTCAAGATCTCCCACCCGTGACCAACTTGGAATTAGGGGATGGCATGGGATTTCTTGGGGCGGGGCGCCATGTGAGATCGTCCGCGTTGACGTCCAACGCGTGACTTCGAGGCAATGCACCGTCGGATTCCTGGTGTGTATTCTCCCGAACTGGGTACATCCCCGAAACTGCTGGGGAAGATGGATATGTTAATTCCATATTTGTTTTTCCGGTTCGGAGCCGTACATCCAAGCCACCTGCTTCTTCCAGGAGATTGATGTGGAGGTGAATCGTCTCCTGGCTGTCAGGGAGTGGCCACCGCCTGGTTGGGGCCTGCTTGGCGGATCAGATAGGAAACATTCTTGATTAAAGACCAACCCAAATATTCTACAGTGGTTTCAGAGTAGATGGCACAGACACCAAGATGTCCTGAAAAGATGGGGTCCATATAAACCGCCGACATTGGGGTCTGTGCCATCTACTCTCAATCCACTATAAATCATTCCACAGATGCCCACCTTTCATAGACATGTTTGGGAGTGGTTCCAGTTCGACTCAAAACAGACAAGCCTATGAGGGCCCCTGCTTCCAGTGGGAACTGGATTTAGTGGATAAAAGGGTGAAGAGCTTCAACTACCTGGTCGTTCAACGCAACCAGGCTGGGTGGGTTGGGGTGACAGTCAGCTTAAGGCCTCCAAGACTTTCTGATGCGGGGCTCGCAGAACCAGATCGACGAGATCCTGCACAGCTTGGAGCTCCTCAGTTGGAACTCAGAGGAAACTGCGGATGGACGTGGAAGGCGGTGTGCCTTTCGGACTCGATTCAGGAGCTCTCGGCGGTGGACGCCAGACCGGACTGGACGAAGAACACCGACCCCGTGTTTCAGGGTCGTGGAGGGTCGTGTTTCTTCGGAAGACCTTCGTTTTTTCAGGTGCGTTTCTTAGATAAGGAGGGCTTTTTCATTGTTTTTTGTATGTTCATTTGATCTGTTGCTTCTTCTGCATCATCATCATCATCATCATCATCATCTTCTTCTTCTTCCTTCTCATGCTTGCCGACCACACACCGCTCCGTGCACGCCAGGTATCGCGTACACAAAGCGACTCGGGTCCTCTATGTGCGCTCTGGTCTGGACGACCAGAACTTGACAAGGCGAAAGGGAAGTGATCGGAAGTAGTGCATTTCTGTCTTTTGGATACTAAGAAAGAGCACGTAGTAAGCTCCGTTCGTAGCGTCCGATCGCTCCGTTCGTAGCGATGCCACGAGCCCCAATCGTAGCTTCTTAGTTCCTCTACTGGTGTTGTTCGGACCCGACAGTAATTTGTAAGTGAATTGTAAGAAATAGGGGCACGGGATGGTGTGGGGCCGTCCGAACGCGCGGAGTCTGTCCTCATGTCCGCCGCAAGCTGTTCTTCATCGTACCTGACCGAAAGAATGTTTGGTGGCAGACCCGAAGAAGAATTGGAGACAGCACCGAGATGCCACTTGCTGTGGACCTATACAAACTTTTAGCCGCCTTAGATTTTACGAAGACGATGTTATGTTAAGGACTTGATGACCAGGCTGTGTGGTCGGTCTCTGTCGGTCTCGAACTCGTGACAGCTGTGAGGATCGTCGGTCGGAACCCCCGATGGGTCGTAGCGAACGCGACACCAGGGGGCGGTCGTGCCCTAGACCTTCGGTCTCCTTTTTCGCCAGCTCCCCAGAGCTCTACATGGCAGCCCCGAACTCACCAGGATAGATTGGCCTCCCAGGTAGTCTATTCTGTTCCTTCTCGGTGGTCAATCATAAGAGATCATAATAAATAAATGGTGCAAAGTGCAAAGAGATGAATGAATTGGACAATTTCCTTCACAAAAATCGTAATAAGTGAACAATAAGATTTGTCCCTTCATTTTACTTCTTGGCAGGTTCGTGTCTTGAGGTACAGGAGGCTGTAGCAGGTCTATTGCGACAACCCGGGTTCGGCTCGATTTTTTGCACGATATTGCCTGGGATGACGGAAGTGTTACCCAACTGTTCTCACCATGGCAACTTCCCAGTAATATAGACTGCCAACCCTCCAGGTTATTCGGTGACTGGACACTCGGACACTCCAACATTTGTACCTACGGACACTACTTGGAACATATGTCAGTGCAATGATGAGACCCAGCGACCACCGGCTGACCCAGACCCATCGTCGCAGGATGCAGTTCCACGGCCGGGAACTGAAGCAAGCCTCGGAGCGGCTGCAGAGTGCCTTCGGTGTGTGACAATGTCAACCCCCCTGCAGATGAGTACCACGGGAGCCTGAAAACTACGGGGTGGTGGATGAGAAGAGTCTGAACCAGGGGTCCATGGTGGCCAGAATGAGAAGAGGGGGCCCAGGTGGCGCCCATGTCGGCTCAGCAGTGCCTTTGGGGTGTTCGGAGAAAACAGGGTGTCATTCGGGTGTCATTCATGCTTTTTTCGAGAGAGGCGCCTTAATGCTATTTTTATACTTTGACAGACTTGGTGAGCGAGAGACTGGTGTCTATTCTTGCATAAGGTGGTGGTCGCAAAGCCATGATTCAAGGCAAAAGCCAGACAAACAGCTTCTTCCAAAAGACCTCCCTGTGGGATTCCCCAACATGACGGCACTACGTCAACTTACGCTGTCAAACTGTTCAGTTTAGTTAAATCCAACTTGATTTAGCAGCCCACTCAAGGACGGATGGACGGATTGGGTCTCTCCCAATGGGTGATTTGTCTCACACTGCAGCGCCCTTCATCGGTCTTGATGCCTTAGGGAAACCCTTTGGGATGCAGATCCTGACGTGGAACGAACACCGGTTTGCGTTGGAGAGGCCAACACGCATGAGAAATGAGATCTTCAAAGGGGTGTTCAGCCTTTCGTTCGGATTGGTTCTTTTGTTGGAAAAAAGAAACTGAATCATCATGATTGCCCAAACTTGAGGATGTCAGCCAATTTTCTGACCTTGCTATGATTTTCCAGGGACACCAAGTCCGAAACTAACAGTAATTAGATGAGCTTTTTGGGCGGACCATTTAAATACACATGGCAAGAGCAATTTCTTTGGAGGGGCTGGAGGATCGACACCAATGGACGGGTGGACAGGGTGTCCCCCGAACCGAGGATTCGAGTCCTTTCAGAAGGCCAAGGACAATTTGAAGGCTTTTCAGGCCGCGTCTCCGGTCAAGTCGCTGGCCGCGATGGAAACGCCAAAGGGTATGGTGACTAGCATAGATCCAGCCAGTCTGTGTGTTCAGCGTGTGTGCAGATGGAGTGAATAAGATGCACATGAGTCGAACATCATGAGTGCATGCACGAATGAGTCCCTATTTGTTTGAGTTTGGCCAAGACCCACGAGGGTTTTTTGATCTTTGGTGCCTATACCAGCCTAACAACACAACCAAACAAATCCACGATCGAAAAAACAGAGGAACAAAACACCTAACGATTTAGGGCCTCAAACCTCCGGAAGGCGCCCACACGCCACGGCGCTCAGCGGCGCCACGAGGCGTGCTTGGAGCACTTGCACGGCCACGCGGAGCGGGCGCCCTTCCGTCGCTGGAAGGCGATGTCCAAGTACCTGGGAGAACGGTTTCGGCGGGTGGCACTGGGATGAGGATGGTGAAGTCAGTGGATAGTGGGTGCATCTCTCAGCAGGTGTTTTTTCGTTTTTCTTGGTTTTTTTTACACAAACTGAAAGCGAAATCCGTTGGGTGTTTCATCGGTCTCGAAAGCAACCTTCGCATGATGATCGAGACAACCAGATGGGAATCTAGGGATATACCGACATCCGGGACCCCCGAAGACAAGAAGACCAACACGTGAGATTCTAGGCGCGTGTACAAACAGGGGAACAAATCCATGGCCCATCACCCTGGCCACAGCAACGGTGGGGCTTCACCACCCTTGGTGGGCTTCAGTACCAATCAATGAAGCGACCAAGCCGCTTTACATATATGCTTATTCTACAATAAGCACCTAAACTAGCAACCAACTCAAAAACCAACCATCAACCAACTACACTTTGATTCACTGACATGGAAGTGGAAAACCGCAGGAAAACCCGAGGACAGTCGTCTTCCAAGGGTCATATGTTCCACTTGGTGAGTCAGAATGTCACCGACCAACGAACCAAACGAACCACCCGAACCGCCGACCTCCTCAGCTCTCGTCCCGAGGCCCGCCGAGGACCAGCAGCTCTCGGAGCAGCTCCCCCTGGCGCTGGTCATGGCGGTGGGGACCAGGGGGACTGGAGAGCCGGGAGAGGAGAGTTCTGGGCGTGGAGAGTTCGGACGCTCCGTTCACAGCCCGACCGGATTTCGAACCAAAATCTAGGGATTTGAGACCCCAGACCTCTCCATATGAGGGTCCGTGAGCATCTGGGTATGAAGAATGATGAAGAATGTGTTTGTATGTATAGGGAGACCCTCCCAGTGGTCAGGATCCATGAATCAATGAGAGACCTCATTTTTGCTTGAATTCTGAATGGTGCAGTGTATATGTATATGAAAATAGGGAAACCTCCCAGTTCCACCTGCTAGAAGGGGCGGTGCCTCGGTTGTGCACGCGGGATTTGCTCGCCTGTGCGCTTTGCTCGGTTGTACACGCGCTGTGTGCACTTCTATGGAGGAAATAAGGAGCACAAAATGAAGGAATGAACGCATGAAGGAATGAACGAATGAATGAAGGAAGGAAGGAAGGAATGCATGTATACATGAAGGAATATAAGAAAGAATGAGTGAAATCAATGAATGTACTGCAAGAGCTTCACATTGAAATTGAACTGGGGTTGACACATTGTTGACTGTCCGAGATGTCGGTGTGGTTCAGTTCGGTGCTGAGCGACATGGTTTTGAAAATGAGGTATTGTTTTTCACAAGACATGTGGACACCTCAGATTTCAGAGTTTTGCATGAAATTTTCAAATACCTGGACACTTCAGATGTTAATGTGTTACGGACATCTGCAAGATGATGAAGCGGCACGCAGCCCGTGTGCGGCGACCAGCCACTCCTTTGCAGCGGAAACCAGCTGCTCGACGAAGACACTTCTTCTGCTGAGTGCGGGGATATTGTCGTTTGCATTGTGTAGGACGTGTGGTGGTGCCACTAGTACCAGCGCAGATCTTTCACTGGTCCTTTGGTACAGTCGTGAAGTGGATGAAAGCACAGTTCGCAGCTAGGGCTTGGTGTTTTGTTTGTTGCAGTGCCGACTCCAAAGGAAACCATACTTGTAAGAACGGATAGAGCATCTGTGTAGAGCATCTGTGTTACATGGTACTGTGGAAGCAAATAGCAAGAATAGATCATGTGGAAGAATGTCCGCAAAGACGTTCTTAAGGCCCACCCCCCCACCTCACACCAACAAGAAGATTAAACTTAATCAGAAAGTGGTCTCTGTGTTCACTAGCCTCACCTAACGACATGTCATATACATATCACATCAACTCAATTTGTGTGTGCGTAGGTGAGCTCAATCTGTATGTGCAGGTGCGTATGTGGTGCCAGGCACATTTTTGTATTTGTTTTAATCGATGTGTGGACATGTGAGTTCATCCTGCGTGCGCATGTGAGTGACTTTTTACAAAAACATGCTGCTGGCACATGTGAGCCAATGTTGCGTGCGTAAGTGAGGCGCCGTCCTGCTAGAAGAAGGGAAGTAGACCATTGGGCCAGCGGGTTTTACGATTTAAAGCAAGCCCAGTTGGCGGGGGCAGTTTAATCAGTTGAAGTGGGCGTGATGGGGTGAGGCAACTGGGTGAGGCAGCCGGTCTTCCCTCCTTCCGAAGGGCCTGGCTCCATCCTGCTCCAATTGTTTTTTGGATCGTTGTGGATCGGACATGCAGAACGGTTCGGTTCTCTGAAGCTCCAAAGCTTCGGAGAAATATATGAACATGCCTGTTGTTTTTGTTTTGAACGAGAGAGATGTTGCCACGAACCTGTCACATTGGAACCATTTACAACCCATTTGGGTGACATGATTTTGCCGCCCCCAAACAAGTAACACCATAGATCAGCACGTGTCGCAACCAAACGAATGTACGGCCCTTTCTACCTGGACATTCCGATCTGCTCTCCACCCATCGGTCATGGGTCGCAAAGACGGGTCGTTTGGGACAGGCATGTGGGGTTTGAATATGGTGAACACATGTGAACACCCAAGATGCACACGATGTCTCCGGATTCTGGGGATGTTCATTTACAGTAAATCCATATTTATCCAAACCTTAGATTCCTTAGATCTGCTGGTTTGACACCCTAAACAACCAGTTTTTGCTCGAGAAACTCACGAGGAACACCGCACTCCGTTGGCCATCGGGCAACACGCGCCGAACCACCTGGCGGCTGGTTCCCACCTAAGTGGGTCTGAGCGTGAAAAGTTTGGCACAAACGATCGTCATACAGTGGTGAAAGATGTTGTGGCTGTCATGGCACCCGGAAGCCCGAACTCACCAGGGTAGGTTGACCTCCTACAGTTTCCCTTGGAGGTAGTCTATTCTGTTGATTCTTGATGGTCAACCAGGGTCCACGGGGTCCCGGTTTGGACCCGCAGCCTTGTGGGACGTGCTAGTCGGACGCATGTTTTCGTGCGAGTCGCATCTCTTAGGCCTCAATCCACTCCCTCTCACCATTGTCCGTCTCGCACATCGTTCGGTTTGCAACACAGACATGTGGTCGTTGCAGGTGGTGGTGGATGCTGCAGTTGATGGCATGCTGATTGGCCCTTCGGCGTGAATGCTGCGTGTGTGAACTATCCCTCTCTCACCGTTTGATTTTGTTTCGGGATGACGGAGGAGCACGGCCTGAGCACGGGATAGTGATAGTACCTTTGGTGATCTATCTTGATATCTTGACACAGGTCCGATGTTGGTGTGAACACTTCAGATTCTGCAAAGTAAGATCCAACACTCTTGTCATTTCCGCCTTCCCTCCATTTGATGCAGAAGAACAATCGGCAACACCCCACGCTAACGCCATAATTCCATGTTCAATTATGTCTTGATGCTTAGGTTCCCGGTACTATCCTTCACACATCTCTAGAGTTCGGGGTGTTTCTGTAGTTTACAATACCCAGTGGATCCCAGTTACAACATGTTACTATAGTGGTCCCCCAATAGATAGACACATATAGAAATGCTGTCCAATGTATGTTGAAAATTGATATTACCTTTATACTTTATAATCCTTTATTGATCTTTTCATATCATTTCGATCTATTTGGGGTCCAAACACATATCAGAAACCCAGTGGTTTGCCAAACCGTTGGGTCCCAACACGCTCGAAATGTCTGTTCCGCAATTCCTCTTCGCGCTCGAAATTCCACTGAAGACTGAAGACTGAAAAAACAGACACAAGTCACGTGGGATCGTTGCACCTGCAGCTTCTCCCGGACCAGGTCTCTCTTATGCCGCTTCTCCCAGATGCTTGACCAACACCGATCCGAACGACCGGTCCCGGTGGAGTCGTGTGAGGTCGTTGAGCAGCTGCTGGCAGCTGCTCAACGGGTCAATATCTCCAAAAACCCCTCGGTATCGATAGCTCACATGAGTTACATGGAGTGAGTTCAATCTCCACTAGCAACAAGAAGCTACCAGGGGCTACTGGCCTTACTACTAGGAGGAAGAAGCAGCTAGGAACAAAGGGCATCGCGACTCGAACAAAGCGATCGGACGCTACGAATGGGGCGCTGGCCATACTAGTCACAAGAAGCTATTCGGATTGATCTCATGGTCTTTATATCGAGGCCCTGCCATCCATGTAAAGCTAACCTTCGTTCCATGCAGGGTGTCCGTCAACATGTGTCTTGCCCCTTTTGTTTCCCGTCTTGCACCTGGTGGCGAGCTTCCGGGGGTCTTGCGTTTGGAGGAACACTTGAATACACATATGAAGACCATGAAGGAAAAACTTCTGAGGAGGGAAAAGAAGCCATAAACCTTGTATTGGCACTGTGACGTCGAGGTTCTTTGACGCTTTTCCGTTCTTCCAATCCTTTCCAGCATTTGGAGGTCCAGGCTTTGGGGAGGTTCTCCATTTCTCCATCACTCGTGGCCATTTCTCCATCACTCGTGGCCATGCTCGACAAAACCGAAAAGAGTCGGACGTAGGACAGGGTTGCTGGACTAGACTGCCTGGTACCTGAAGCTCCATTGCCCATCCGGGATCCAGTCATACCAAACCTCAGGTCCGGTATGAGAACGGAAACTCCTGGTACCTGCAGGACAGTGTCGAACAGATCGTACCTGGTACCTGAGAAGGTAAGGTTCTTGGATCCCCAGGGTCGGACAACCCTTTGCAACATCCAAGATATCCAGGCTGTCCGGGTTTCATGCCAACACTTCTGACATGGCCGGTAACAGAGATGAAATGCGTATCATGAGCACATAGAAAGATGTAAAGATCATATAACCATATAAGATCATATAACCATTAAATAGTACTATTACACATGCCCCTGGAATAGGCTCATTGGCTCAGTCCTTTAGGGTGTCTTTAGCAAAGCATACTCATCCGATCGATCTGCAAGCTGGTGGACCGAACCCGGTTGATCGAGGCGCTGGTTGGGCCATGGCCATCGCCACCTGCATTGAAACTTGGAGAGTCTGAGCTTGGTGGCATCGTTCCGGCAAGAGAGGTGTTTTTTTGTGATCTGAAAAGGACCATAGTAGCGTCCTTGCTCCGTTCGTAGCGATGCCAGAAGCCCCGTTCGTAGCGTCCTTTTGTGATCTGGGTACCTATTCCACACATTAATGGCCACTTGCATATTTACCGATCAATTGCGGACATGTGTTTCTTCGGTCCAAAAGTTTAGTTGTGGGTAGTGGTAGAGAGGTGTCTTGGAGTCGGATATGGAGGCGTCTTCGGCTGCCAATTCCTGAACATCGTCTCACGGTCACAGTTCCGATTCTTTTCAGTTGTACGTCATTGAGCCCCTAGTAGTGTTCTTACTCCTTGTAGCAATGCCAGGAGCCCCTAGTAGCGTTCTTGCTCTTAACGTATGACTTCCCACGTTTTGGAGAAGGAATGGTGACGTGGAGAAGCAGAGCTTTGTCACGGACTTATCCATGGTCCATAATTGCAGAAGCGCTCTGCGTTGGGGTCACCGTTTCTCCAGTGCTTCTCGCGCTTTATTAGAGGAGGCTTGAAACAACACCTTGGGGCACAGGTGCCGCAAGAAGTTGATATGTTCTTTTACCAATTCTGCGCAGGAACCAAACTCCGCGCCAAAGCAACTTGAGGGTGTTGAGGTTTAAACAGAACATTTTTCCAGCTTGGTTTGGTAGTGAAGGTGTCCTTCAATAATCTTGCCAACTTTGCAGGGGATCCCATTAGTTGCCACTATGTAAGAACCAGGGTTTCCTTCGGTCTATGGTTTTAGTCTTTGTAACCACTGGTTACCTTTGACTGGATCATTTCCCGGAAGTGTGGCATGCTCCCGCTCTTTCCCCCGCGGCGACGCGGGAGCGCAGCCCAAAAATTGGGGTCACCGGTTTTGACGTCGAGCACGCAGCCCTTTTTGGCTCCGGCAGTGACCCGCAGGAGCGTCGTGTTTTTGTCTTTTTTCGTCGTCTTTTTGTACGCCGCTGGGCCGTTCGCGTTGTCGTCGCGTTGACGCGTTCGGAACCGAAGGCACTCGGTCGGGACCCTGCGGTTTTCTGGGGGCCCTGCCCCCCCAAAAGCTGCTTTTGGTTGGCCAGATCAGTGAGCACAAGAGTGGTACCAACGAGCGCCCCAAAGGACTCGAGTGAAGTCGAGAGTGTCTTGACGGGTTCGCATGGCTGGCGATATCGTCAAAAAGCACTATAGGTTCTTCTGAAAAAGATCTAACCTGCAGTACAAGCAGAAGATCTATGGCAGATACAGATCTATGGCAGTTAAGACCTACCATAGGTTCTGCAGTACAGATCTGTGGCAGTACAACCAGAATGATCTCTTTGGTTTTGATGTGAAGACCCTGGGATGCAGGTGTCATGGATACCATGGATGACAGGAAGAAAAACCCTTAGAACTCCTCGTTGACCAGCCACAACGCGAGCAAACACATACTATGCTCCACGCCGTTTTTCATCTTGAAACCCACCCACCTGGTGACTCCATGCCATGCATGGCTTACAACAGGCCGGGTGTTCGACTTGTCGCTCGTGCCTGTGTGGTGGGCCAGTGCAGAGTGCTGAGTGGCAGTGCAGACCACTGGGAACCACTCATGTAGAAACATGATCCTGCTGTGAAGGGGTTACACTCCGACGAACACATCACATGGAAGTGGAAAACCTCCTGTTTGTACAGGAAAGTAGTCTTCCAAGGGATCAGAATTTCCACTTCCATGTGATGTGTTCGTCAGAATGTAAGATGTAGTCTAGGTAGGTTCCAGTAGTCCAGGTGGGAACCACTCATTTTTACATGATCCTGCTCTGTAAAGATCTAGTCCAGGTAGGTGAAGCCGTTGTTGGTAGGTGATCCTGCTCTGTTAAGACCGTCGGGAGAAAACCGAGGCGATGCCTGCGATGTCGAAGATCTCCAGTGCCGGCTTGGCCGCCAGTGCTTTGAACCTTGGACGGTGGGAACAGATTGGACGGCGAAGTGCGGAAAGAACATCAACCAGGAGTTCCAATTCGGAATGGTGTTTAAATCCCATCCAGTGAGTGCAATCCCTGTCCTCCAAGTTCGGCACCCTTTTGAAACTGCTGGAAATTGACTATCCATGTACGCACATTTTGCCACTAAACTTGAATTAACAATTTGTCATTGGTTGTTGTACTTCAGATGGCATGTTACCCTGGGATTCCAACCACCATTGTTTAATGGTTTTTGCCAAACAACATCCAAACAACTATATTGTCTTTTTCCCCTAAGGAGATGACGCTGCGAAACCAGGTCAACCATTCTTTTTGATGGTCTTTGAAGGCTAGGGTTGTATGTTGCCAATGCACATGTACATCAAGGTCTGGTGGAATCACATACCAACATATGCATCGGGCTTCAACCCGAGGAACGAGTCCCCCAATGGGTCGGGAGTTTAAACCTGCCAGTCCCAGACAGGTTTTTGGTTTGGACCAGGACGATCAGCATTTCCGACCCCAGAACACACTTTTTCGAGACCTGAAATGGGATCTATGGTGGTACCTATGGTACATATGCCTTTGCGGTGTTCGGGTGAGGTTAACCCTGGAGCCCGGGTTCTGGGGTTCTGGAGCTCTGAAACACCCTTTGCTGACCGGGCTCCTTTCAAGCCCTCAATTTTTGGGTGATGTCCGGGTGATGACGACCTCTCCACATCCGACACCAGGGCAAATAGAAGTATGAGAGAAGCAATCAACCCACCACATCCGACCCCCCCCCCCCCCCCCCCCCCCAGGAGCCCCCCCCCCCCCCCCCCCCACCCCCCCCCCCCCCCCCCCCTTTGGGCACCCACTCCACCCACCCCAAATCCTCCCCCGTTACGGCCCGTTTCGGAATCCGAACCGAACCTCCGACGGGGCCAGGATGGCGGCGTCCGCCTTCGTAGCCCCCTCGGCTGAGCCGACGACGCAGAGGCGGGCGGGACGGCACGGCGGGTATCAACCAGCACCCCCAGTCGGGGTGGTGAATGGACACCCCTTTCGGGGCTTTAAGAACCAACACCCCGACAGGAGGGTCCTGCAAGAAGTCGAATCATGTTTGTCACTTTTGGATCTCCCAAAAGTGACGTTCGCACTGCCAGGCCCCGAAGTCACAGTCTTAACTCCCTAGGGCGACTTCACCATATCCTCAGGTTCGGTGGTTAGACCCCCCTGGCACCCACCCCAACCATCTTCGAAACGGAGGTGATTGGAGCCCTAGAGACTTAAGATGTTTTTTTTTGTCCTGACACCAGGAGATGGCTTGGGAGGGTTGGGCCCATTGGACAGGACGCGTGAGGCCGCCAAGAGAGTCCTGAACTCTTTTGCAGAGCAAAACCTGCCCCAAGAACTTGGGACATGTGAAACTCATCAGATTTCAATACTAGAGAACCCAGGTGATCCCTGTTTTGATAGGAAAAGACAGGTCACCCAGGTTCTAGGTAGGTGTATATATTCTTTTTCAGCATCCTTCACACTTCGTCGGCAGTCCCACGACATCATCCCACATGAATCTGGACTGATGACGCCAAACCGAACTTCTTGTTACTCCAACCTTCTAGTAGTAGCTTCTTGTTCCTAGTAGAAAGGCCAGGAGCCCCGTTCGTAGCGTCCTTGCTCCGTTCGTAGCGATGCCCTTTGCTCCGTTCGTAGCTTCTTGTTTCTACATGCTTCCAGCAAACCCCTGAGGTCTGCCACCCTCCGTGGTGCTCAGCGCTCCAGCAGCTCCTCCGCGACCTCCACCGTCGCGCTGGGCGCCACGGCGCTGGTGGCCGTCGCCGCCGCCAGCGGCCGCTCCGCCGGCCGCCCCGCGGCGGTGAAGCGTTGCGCCTATGACGCCTCCAACGACAGGGGGTGGGTGGGGGTGAGGTCGGTGAGGTCAGGTGGTCAGGGAGCAGGTTAAGGCTTCGTATTAGATCGTGTGATGACAGATGTTATATAGATATGGTACTGTAGACGGTTTTGAGTTGTTCGAAAGTGTAACAATGAGATGCGTTTTGTGTGTTCTATGTTTAAATGTTTTGAATGTGTTTTGTGTTGTTCAATCATGTTTGTGTGTTTGTTTTGTACGGTGTGATGTGCCGTGTGTACATGACATCAGCAGCACACTTTTTCTGGACATCAGATGGCTGAATCAGGGAGGAGGAGGGTGACTGGGTGACTCTGCTCCCATTCTTTCGGCGACTTCCCATTCCAGAAACTTCCCATCCAGGACCAAACGAAGTTGGTCTTATTCCCAGACACGACCCATGGGACTGCCATATATACCGCCCCATTGACCCCTGAAACCACCCCAACCCCAATGTATATATGTATATATATAATATATGGCATACATGGAGTGTCTGGGATTGGCTTTTACTAACGGTTCTTTTATTTCTGTTCAGTATATTTCAGGATAAAGAAGTCTTAACATGGTAGGTTCAAGTTCAAACGTCGGCTCTAGCGAATCGAAGTTCCAACACCAGACGTTTGATTCATTCCTGTGATGGTTTGCTGAGCCAAAGACCTGAGCCGAAGCAGCATCTTCTTCATACCATCTGCACATATGAAGTGAGAATAGGGACACCTGACACCAGGTCATCGTTCCAAAGTGTTTTTCATACTCTTCCGCCTATGTTCAGTCCACTTGCAAAAACGCGTCAGAATCTCAAAGGACTCGCTGCAGTGACTCGATCAGATACTCGGGGGCCCAGGGCCAAACACTGCAGCATCGATCACCTTCCGAGCAAAGCACCGACCCTTCACGTGGAGTGGCTCGGGCCTTTCTTTGGCTCCAAACACCGACCCAAACGCAGGGTGCGGACCTGAACGAAAGCCCGAACTCCTCCAGGTGGCTCGGGCCATTCTTTAGCCATAGCGATGCAGCTCCGAGAACCATTGGAGTGGTTCAGACGGCAGACTGGTCTGGAATCGAAACCGGGTCGGAAACGTTGGGGTTCGGTCTCTCTATATATATAGGTCGCACCCACATGGATGCCGGATTCCTAG